GGAATGAGGAGGAGGATGAGGATGTGTGCAAGGGCGCGGCGCTAAGGCGCGGCCTTGCACACATCCTGTGCACACAAGTGGTTGCAAAGGTAAAAAAAACAAATGTGCGCGGCGCTAAGGCGAGAGTCACATTTTGAAAGCGACCCGCCCTCTATCTGTGAAACTGTTGTCAATGTTTCAGCTTCAGGGTCATCAATGGTGAGGAAGTCTCATGCGAAACGCCCGGCCCGCCCTAAACACTGGCCTCGGGGTGCGACAGGGAGGAGTTATTTATAAGGAGAAGGAATGGGGGAGGAGGAGGAGGAGGAGGAGGAGGAGGAGGAGGAGGAGGAGGATTGAGGCGAGGCAGAGGAGGAGGAGAGAGGAGGAAGGAGGAGGAGGAAACAGGAGGAGGAGGAGGAGGGGAGGAGGAGGAGGGAGGAGAGCGGGAGGGGAGGGGGAAGGGGCGATGGAGGGGTGGGGGGAGCGGAAGGAGAGGGGAAGGGGCGAGGAGGGGGAGGGGGAGGGGAGGGGAGGGGGAGGAGGAGGGGAGGGGGAGGGGGAGGGTACAGAGGGGGAGGGTACACTGAGGGAGGTAAGATGGGGTGGCTCTGCTTGTTTCTGCGGCTCGGTCTGGCGGTCCGCTCTGACCTCTGTGAACACCGCGCGGGCGATCGGGACACCCGAGCTGAGATGGCAGCGGGCGCAGCGCGAGGGCGTTTCAAACACATTCTCGGAAGGCCTTCGGGCCCTCCCTTCTCCCTCCCCTCTCCTCCCTCCTCCCTCCTCCTCCTCCTCCTACTCCTCCTCCTCCTCCTCCTCCTCGTCCTCCTCCTCCTCCTCGCCCTCCTCCCTATGGGAGTGTGTTAAACAGTGGAGAGGACATAGATCAACGGGGGAGGAGGAGGGGGGGGACCACGAGGACGAGGGGGGAGCGGGCAAGAGATTGGAGGTTGGTGCTAATCACGAGAAGGGTTGGATGACGGGGGGGGGGAAGACGGGACGAGTGGAAGAGTGAGGGGGAGGAGGATCAGGATAAAAGGGGAGTGGGAGTGGGAGGAGGGAGGAGGAGGGATGCCATCGTGGTGACCGCTGTCGCTGTCGTCGCCGCCACCGCCATCGTGCTTGCTGCCGTCGCCCTCGCCCTTGCTGCCGTCGTCGCCGCCGGGGACCGCGCCGCTGCCGCCGTCGCCATCGTCGCCGCCGCCGCCGTCTTCGCCATGGCCGTCGTCGCCTGCGTCGTCGACGCCGTGGGGTGCCGCGCGCCGCCGTCGCCGCAGCGGCTGCCGCCACCCGCGCAGGGCATCGACAGCGCGGCCATCAACCTCAACAGCTATACCACGTCCCAGGCGCTGCAGGCGCCGCTCGGCGCCTCGTCCCGCGCGCGCGCGTTCCCTTCGCCCGACGCGCGCGCGGGCCGTCTGCCGCGCGCGCGCTCCTCGATGTGGGCGCTGCATCCGCAGGGTGGGCGACCACGACGGAGTCGTCGACCCGTACAGCTGCCCTTCCACCGTGTTCCCATTCTCGGGCCTCCCGGGTTTTCAGGGCTGGGTTTCTTGCGAGGGTGTCTTGCGGCCGCGTCCGCACCGTAGGTCACCCGCGGGGGCGCGAAGATGATCGCGCTTCTCGCGCTGTGGTCTGGGCTGGAACGGCTGCCTTTTTTCAAGGGGGCGGCGCGACGCAAAACAACGTGCTCGATTGTGCGGTCGCTCGCGCGTAATCTGCTTGCGTAAGGTCGCACATAAGTGCCTTCGTTTCCAACCTGGCGTGCCGCACTGGCGGCCCGCGTCTGCCACCGCGTAAGGTAGCGCAGCTATGCCATCGTACGTAAGACCCGTTTCTTCTTTGTCACCAAGGTGGCGACGGCGACGGAGACAGCGACGACGGATGGTCGAGGGGGACGGCATCATCTGCGACCAATGCAGGACGCGGACTCCCTCCTGACGGGCAGTGACCCAAGGATTTGCAGACCACCGGAGTTGCCTCCTCGTGTCCTCCCTCTCCCTTCACTCCTGCCTCCCTCCCTCCCTCCCTCCTCCTCCCCCCCGACGGCGCCGCCGAGCGGCGAAGAGGGGGCGCGGGGCCCGCTCCGCTGCCGGCGCCCCCGGAGGCCATACTGATGGGAAGCCTGGACAAGCGGACGGGGACCGTCTACGGGCCGCCGGGCCAGAAGAAGTGCATCTTCTTCGTGGAGGGGAGGGGGGGTGGTCATCGGGAGAGGGGAGCGCTGCATCGTTTTCGCCAACTGTCCTCCGGTGTTGGGTCCTCCCTTTTGACCAGACCGCGCCCCGCGCCACTCACTCCTTCCCTCCTCTCTTCCTTCCTTCCCCTCCTCCTCCCCCTCCTTGCCTCTGCCCTCCGATGCGCCTGTTTCGGCACACACACACACACAAATCACACGCTTCGTGGCCCCATAGGGAGCCCGAAGGTCCACATGCCAGCGTTCGCATGCGCCCACCAACACCCATGTTGGTACACCCCTCACACGTTTCGTGGCCCCATAAGTGGGCTCCACCGACGGCCACAGACAGTAGCTGCGCTCGCATGCGCCCACCGCATCCATTTGGCACACCCCGCACAAGTTTCGTGGCCCCATAGGGAACTCCACCGACGGCGCCAGTGGCAGCGTTCGCATGCGCCCACCGCGCCTATTTCGGCACACCCCTCACACGCTTCGTGGCTGCATAGGGAGCTCCACCGACAACCCTGGTGGCTGCGTTCGCACGCGCCCACCGCACCCATTCTGGCACACCCCTCACACGTTTGGTCCATATGCCAGCGTTCGCACGCGCCCACCTCACCCAGTTTGGTACACCCTCACACGTTCCGCGGCCCTATAGGGAGCCCCACCGACGGCCCCAGTGTTTGCGTTCGCATGCGCCCACCGCACCCATTTTGGCACACCGTCACACTCTTCGTGGCCCCATAGGGAGCTCCTCCGGCGGACCCAGTGGCTGCGTTCGCATGCGCCCACCGCACCCACTTTCGGCACGCCCCTCACACGTTTCGTGGCCCAATAAGGAGCTCCACCGATGGCCACTGGCTGCGTTCCCCGCCGCACCCACTTTGGCACACCTCACACGTTTCGCGGCCCCACAGAAAGCTCCACCGACGACCCCACTGATTGCGTTCGCATGCGCCCACCGCACCCAATTTTGGCACACCCCTGACACGCTTCGTGGCCCCATTGGGAGCTCCACCGACAACCCCGGTGGCTGCGTTCGCATGCGCCCGCCGCACCCATTTTGGCACACTCTTCACACGTGACGTGGTCCCATGCGGAGCTCCACCGAAGGTCTACATGCCCACATTCGCAAGCGCCCACCGCGCCCATTTTGGCACACCCTCACGTTTCGCGGCCCCATAGGGGGCCCCACCGACGGCCCCAGTGGCTGCGTTCGCATGTGCCCCCCCTCTTCGGTTTTAGCACACTCCTCACACGTTGCATGGCCCCGCAGGGAGCTCCACCGACGGCCCCAGTGGCTGCGTTCGCATGCGCCCACCGCACCCGTTTCGGCACGCCCCTCACTCCTTTCGTGGCCCCGTAGGGAGCTCGTCTGAATGCGGTGCATAGAACTACGGTGCTCACAATTGCCTATGGTCGGGTCCTTCGCCAGGCTATCGACTCCCGCGATCCAGGGGGGCACGGGAGGGGGAGCACGGTCTTTGGGGTGGCACGGGAGGAGGTCGCCATGACGAATGGAACGAGCGTCGAGGTTGTTGAGGTTTTTGGAGGTTCATCGTCCTTCTTGAACCCCCAGGAATCTCCTCGTCGCCACGGCTGGATCTCTGGAGAGACTCTTGCCAAGGAGACGCATGGTGGACGATGTCGAAGGGAGGGGGACCCATGCCCCCTCGCGTCGCGAAACAGCTGTGACGGGCCTCCCAGGTCATTGGACAGGGGGGGGGCATTTTTTTAGCTAGGGTGGGGGTCGTAAGCCTCTTCGATTGTCGGCGGGCTTCAATGGCGTTCAGAGACTTTGTGGGGGATTTCTCGATGTTGTAGTCCTGGTTAGCAGGTGTCGATCCCGGCGCTGCTCAAATGAGTTACCTCAGTCGACGGGGGGGGAGACCGCCGAGCGATCTCGTCTCGCACCACGACAGCTTAAATTTGTCGACTGCTTCCTCGGGGTGGGGCGGGCGGCGGGAGTAACAGGAGCAAGACGGCCCCTGCTAGGCCTCAAGACTCGAGACGGCGGCCCCTTCGGAGGCAGGAGCCCCCCGCTGACAGTCCAAATCCTCTGCAGCCCCCGTGGGCTCTTATCAGAAGCCGACTGGGGTCTCGTTGGAATCGTATCCGGATTTACCTCCTCCGCCTCCCCGGCTGAGGGGGCTGGGGGCGGGATACCACTGCATGTGGCGCTGAGCTACATAGCATAGTTTCGCGGGAAAAGGGATGAGTGCGACCGTTGCTAACCAAGGTTGATGCTGCGGGTCGAAGAGGAAGAGGGACACCAGGAGGAGGCGGACGAGGAAGAAGGAGCTAGGGGGGGAGGAGAAGATAGAGAGGGGCGAGAGGAGGATGAGGGACCAGAGTAAACCCCCAGACTCCTCGCAATGCGGGGGAAAGCGGGGGGAGTCTCCTCGAAGACGGTCGCCCCATGGCCTTGCCAGTTCAGCGAGTAAAACCATGCCGAGCAACACCCCGCTTGCCTCTCAGGGTTGGGCTTCGTGTGGGTTTCTGGTGGACTGGCCTCCACTGTATTGCACGTGCCAACGCGAGGTCATTAAACGGCCATGCCATTGTGCCGATGTGTGGCATGGCCTTGCCATTCCGGCGAGGTCCAGGTGCGAAGAGAGCCGCCTCTCCGCCCATGCAGCTGCTAGGCGTGCTTGATGTCCTGGTCGTAACACTGCGAGCTCTCCCAAGGTTGAACAGCAACTGCTCTCCACCAGAGTAACTTGTGAGCATCATGCAGCATACCGTCGGGCAGTCTGAGGACGTAATTAAGCGTCAGTGCCGGTTTCCCACGGCAGTGTTTGTACGTGAGGGTTCCGCCACGCCGACGCCTCGTGCGTTCGTGGGCGCATCGTGGATGCCCCGCCTGGGTGGCAACACACATTGCACAGCGTACGCGCACATTCCACCACATAGAGTGCACCACTAGTTCTGCACCAGATATCAGACAGTACACAGGCAGCATCCTATATATTACGACTACTGTTGACTCCCGCAGCTTGCACCGCACGGCTTGAGCCATACGGATTGCGCCACAGATTTCGCACCACGCATGCTGCACCACACACGTTACACAGCATCATAGGCTGAAACATGCGCATACTTCACCACATGGATTGCATTCCCTAGATTGCAACACACAGGTCACCATGCATGAACTTCGTGTATGTACTGTACACCTATCGCGCCACATATGTCACAGCGCCTATGTTGCACCATGTAGGTCGCAACGCATACGTTGCACCATACACATATTGAACAACCGACATTAGAATACCCCATTATCTGGGGTCCACAGTGGCAAAGTATCAGCAGTAAGAGGTGCGAAGGGAGGAGGGAGACACTGAAGAGCGGGGGTGACGAGGAGGGGGGAGGACAGGGAAGGGATGAGAGACAGCGGGAGGAGAAGGAGCGACAGAGGGGATCGAGGAGGGAGGAGGACTGAGGGACGAAGGGGGAGTAGCAGAACGGATTGCTAGTACGGATGGTGAAGAGGCGGAGGAAGGTGGAAACCACCCCCTCCTCCTTCCCTCCGCTGCTCCTCCCCAACTTCGCCCGATCATGCTCCTCCCCTGCATGCTGCTGCTTCACTTACTTCGCCTGTCCCTCCCCTTTCTCACCGGAAGCCGCCATGAACTTCCAACGGCCATGGGAATACGCCCGACCCCCATGTGGAAACCTTCGAGAGTTGCAGAAGCTTGTTGAACACTTGGACTCGCTGTCTTGTTCGGCGATCCCAAGTCCACCTCCGCCTTGCCATCCTTCGGCCCTCCCCTTCCCCCCCCCCGCTCTTCTTCCCGCTCCACCCCCTCCTCGTCCACTTCCACCTCCCCGCCCATCTTCCAGCGCACTCGTCCAGTTTCGATGGCCGCGAGAGTCGATTATGCGTAAGAGTGTCCCTTCGCCAGAGTGCCTATTTTGAACGCGATGCGATGGCAGAGGCTTACCCGCTTTGGTTTAGGCCCCCCGCGCCGCCCCACTGGAGCCGCGCACCAAAGGTCACTCTCGCTTAGGGTTACGCCTGCGTGTACAGTCGAAACCGATAATAAGGATGGGCAACCTTCCCAAGGGTGCCCTTGCATCTTTGCCTCTTCGGTCCATCCTCGAACCTCTCTCGATGGCCAGCCCACTCGAAACGCTCCGACATGGGCGTCCAGAAGGGGCTTGAACCCGCATCGCGCACCCTTACCATCAGTTTTTTTTGGACCGTGGCCGAGAGCGGGAGTGGTGAGGACGATCTGAACATGCCCTACGTCGACGCCTACGACACCCAGGCCCCGCCTGTCCCTTCCCGCTCCCCACGTCTCTCTGGCGGCTCGTGAGGGGCTGCGGCCAGACTTTGGCCTTCAGTCGGGCGTGTCAACCCACTGGAGGAATATTCAACAATAAGCAAAAATAGTCTGGGGACGTTTTTTTGATAATTTTTAGTTTTTTCCTGTATTTTCTGACTATGTTTAATTGTTCGTGCAAGAGCCCCCTGTGGGAGGACATGCCCGACCTAACTTTGGCCGCAGCCCTCGCCCGCCGAGGAGGCTGTTTCCAGGCCCCCGGGGGGCCGTCGGGCGGCTTCTTCCCGGTGGAGAGTCGGCCCCCCGGGGATGGTCGGGGGCTCCTAAACGGGTGGTGACCACACCGCGTGGTGAGTCGGTGGGGATTCGGGGTCACCGCACGGTTTTGGGACTCGGGTCGTTCTCCGAGGAAGTCTCGGGCGACAGGGGCATCCGAGGTCCCAAAACCGTGCGTTGACGGACTGTGCGGTGAGGTCTTGGGGGATTTTGAGGTCACCGCACGGTTCGTCACCGCACCGCTTCGAGACTCCAACGTGGATACGGCTCCTTGGCATTCGTCGGCCACGTGCAGACGGGTGTAGGGGGTAGTGGGGGGGGAAGGCTTTTGAGAAGCACCCCTGCTGCTGAGAGAGGGAACGGGCCTCGTCCAGAGGTGCAAGGCCAGCGCCTCCTGAGAGACAGCCTCCCTCTAAGGAGCCTTCCCCCCTCCCCCGAACCCCCTCGTGCGCGCCGCCAGCACCTTTCTCTCTATCTCTCTCTGTCTCTCTCCTTCCCTCTTCCGCTATCTCTCTCTCTCACACAACGCAACGGGACGACGGACTAGAGCACATGGGCCGCGCGGCACGCGGGAGTCTTCCGAGAGAGCTCCATCTCCCGCGGGATGCGGCACCCCCCGCTACAACCCCGCCAGGCCGCTCCGGTCGTGATGAATCACGATTTTTCCCGACCATCTTGTGGTGTTGGGTCTTCGTTTTGAAGACAACAGCGCCTCGCGCTCCGTCTCCTCTCCTCCGGCCTATCTCCATCCCTGCCTCGGCCCTCCGCAGCAGTCAACCATTTCGGCGCACCCATCGCACGTTTCGTGGCCCCATAGGGAGCTCCACCAAAGGCTCACATGCGAGCGTTCGCATGCGCCCACCGCATCCATTTTGGTGCACCTCTCAGACGTTTCGTGGGCCAACACGGAGCTCCACCGACGTCCCCAGTGGCTGCGTGCACATGCGCCCACCGCACCCGTTTTGGCACACCCCTCACATGTTTCGTAGCCCTATAGGGAGCTCCGCCGAGGGCTCCCGAGGCTGCGTTCGCATGCGCCCACCGCGCCTGTTTTGGCACAGCTCCCGCACGCTTCGCGGCCTCATACGGAGCTCCACCGACGGCCCTGGTGTCTGCGTTCGCATGCGCCCACCGCACCCATGTTGTCACACCCCTCACACGTCTCGTGGCCCCATAAGGAGCTCCACCGACGGCCCCAGTGGCTGCGTTCGCATGCGCACACCGCACCCAACTTGGCGCACACCCCTCACGTGTTTCCGTGTTTCATGTCACCATAGGGAGCTCCACCGACGGCCCCAGTGGCTGCGTCCGCATGCGCCCACCGTGCGAATTTTGGCACACCGCTCACACGTTTCGTGCCCCCATAGGGGGAACTCCTTGGACGGCCCCAGTGGCGGCTGCGTTCGCATGCGCCCGCCGCACCCATTTGGGCACACCCCTCAAACGTTGCGTGTCCCTATAGGGAGGTCTTCCGAATGAGGTGCACACATCGACGGTACTCACATTTGCATATGGATGGGTCCTTTGTCAGACTAATGCATTTGTATCGTTTCCTCGGATCTCAAGGTTTGCCTGCGTTCTCTTGCCACCGCGTCGCTGATGGCCGCTGGTAGTTTCCGTGAAGTGTTGCGTGGGCAGTCATGGCGTCTCGGGGCAGAAGTCTCGAAAGGATTGTTCGTGACCCTCCCTGTGATCGGCCTGTTTTCCACCACCACCACCAGAAGTTGTTGGGGGAGGGGGTCCTCCGCCTCCTCCTCCTCCGCCTCCTCCTCCACCTCCTCCTCTTCCTCCTCCTCCTTCCCCCCTCCAACTTATGGTGGTGGTGGTGGTGGAAAACAGGCCCATCATCTTGGACTCCCTTCTGTGCGATGCGGTTCGCCGGTCCGGAGATGGTTTAGCCTCTGGAGCGCAACGGTCGTCGCCGGCCCCCCACCTTACGTTAAGTTGGGCCGAGGAGGAATATTCAAAAATAGTAAAAAAGTCAGGGGACGATTTTTGTTAAATGATTTTGTTTGCCATGTTGGTTTTTTTGACTATTTTTTATGTGTTGTCCAAAACCTCCCTGTAGGAGGACAGGCCCGACTTTACCCTACGGTTACCGAGTAACGGTAACGATCGTACGTGGGTGGGCCACTCACATGCTGGTGTTTGCTCGCTCGAATACTACGGCGACTGGAATCGCAAAGGCGAAGCTGCAAAATACATTGATCTTTTGGTTAGGTGTTCGAAGGATATCCTAAGGCATGTTATTTGGACCGGGGCCATTTTGGAGGAGTTCGATCAAAGACGCGTGGGGGGCTACTAAACTGAGGCCCCCTCTCTGGAGCTCCTAAAATCGCACCTGGGCGCTCTGGGGGCCGTCTTTGAACTCTCTTGGGCTGCTCTCGGGGCTTGCTTGGCCTTTCGTGGAGCCGTCCTGAGGCCGTCGATAGCGAAAAAGGCGAGAGGGCAAACACCATTGTTCCTTTGATGAATTTGGGCCTCTGGGTGGCTTCCTTGGGACGCTCCGTGGCCACTTGGAGCCGTCATGGGCCGGTCATGGAGCCTCGTGGAGCATGTTGAAAGCCATTTTGAGCCATCTTGGAAGTCATCTTGGGCTCTGGGAGGCCCGGAGCCATCTTTGGCCATCTTGGACGCTCCAACGATTCGCGGCCCCTCCCCTCCAGACCCAGGGGCAGGGGGGAGGGGGAGGGATAAACCGCTACCCGAAGGGGAAGAGGGAAGATGGAAGAGGAAACCCTTTAAACCACCTCCACCCAGAGGGCTGGTGGGATAGCACGATCAAAGACTTTGGGCAATCTTCGGCCGGGGCCGTCAACAAAATGACTCGGGATGGATCACCGGCCTCAAGGAAGGGGGTCGCGACACGCAGGGGTCGCCGCGTTGTGAAAGAAACTCGGCTTCGGGACTCCGGGTACCGCACCCTCGGACGAGGATTCATCCATTCTCGTATAGGCCGCCATCATGTTGCTGACCCAGATCGTGTCGTACAAGCAGGTCTACGACCGCGCCCACCTCGAGGAGAAGCGGAACCTCGTGGACATATTGTTCACAGCTTGCATGAACCCCAAGGCGGGAACGGAGGGATTGAGGTGGCGGCGGAGCAGGGGAGGCGCGGGCGGCGGCGGCGGCAGATCGGGGAAAGGAGGGCGAAGAGGGCGAAATGGACGAAGAGCTGCAGCAAGAGAGGGGGAGACCTTGCCCTCCTTGCAAACAAGATGCGGAAGCAAGGATTAGCTCGGGCTCGGAAAGGGGCTCTCTGTCCCTAATCAGTCGTTCCGTGGCTGCTCCTTCTTGACGACCCAAGCTCAGGAGGGGAAAAAACACAGACACAATTAATCGTCGATTCCCCGGAAAATATGGGAAAATATGGGAAGTGGGGGGGAAAACAAAAACATTGAAAATATGGGAAAAGATGGGGGATCCAGTTATTTGTGTGTATTTATTTGTGTGTCCCAGGGCCCCTTCACAAGCGCCCTGAGGGAGCAACAGGGTCTAAGAGTCTAGCCTACTGTTTGGTACTCCTCGTTCCGACAACGTGGCCAGAGGGGGCAGGCTCAGGGGGCGAGCAACCTGAGAAGGCCTCCGCCTTTCTGAGAAGCTTTTTAAAAAATCCTTCTCCGAGACCACATGACGAGGCCACACGTGTCACACGCAGTGTCTCACAGGGCCAGAGAGTCTCTGAGAAGCCCCCGCCGCCTTTGGAGAAATTCTGCCCCCTCATGAAAGCCTGGCGGTCTGGGGGCCATCGTTCGGCTCTCCCCTGGCCGCTCGGGACGATCCAGGCCCCCCCCCCCCCAGAGACGCTCTTGGCTCAGGAGAGGAAGAAACACACAGACACAGGGAATATATGGGAAGTGGTGGGGAAGACAGAAGCCCAGAAAATATATGGAAATATGGGGAATCTTTTTATTTGCGTGTATTTATTTGTGTGTCCCAGGGCCCCTTCATTGGCGAGTCGCGGCCTCTGGAAGCCATCCCAAGGCTGGACCACCGCCGAGCACCGACGCACACGCCCGCAAGCATTGGCCACCCCGGCGCGCCGCCGATCACGCGGGCAGCCTGCCATTTTACACCTCCCCCGCCGGCTTCCGCGGTCGATCTTCAGCCACGCGCAGAGCCTTCTCCTCCTCCTCCTCCTCCTCCTCCTCCTCCTCCTCCTCCTCCTCCTCCGGGGGGTGGGGGGAGGGGGGAGGGTTCCCTAGAAGCACCCCTGCTTCTTAGAAGGCGCGGTCCTCCTCGGTAGATGTAAGGCCAGCGCCTTCTAGGGAGCAGCCTCCTTCCGAGGAGCCCTCTCCCCCCTCCCCCCACCCCCTGGTGAGCACGGCACGATCGATCTCCAGGCCGGCTCGTTCATGATCAACGCGCGCCTGCAGCGGCACTTCACGGCGCCGGCCTCGGGCGCCTCGGCGTGCCCCCGTCGGCCGCGCGGGGGCCGCAGGGCCGGTCACCTCGTAGCACAGGAGGAGTTTCGAGGAGGATCGATGATCGCGGCAGCAGGATCGATGAGGATCGAAGATCGAGGATCGGGAGGAGGAGGAGGAGGAGGAGGAGGAGGAGGGAGGAGGCGGAGGAGGAGGAGGAAGGAGGAGAGGAGAGGAGGAATGAGCAGGAGGAGGTTAGGGAGGAGGAGGGGAGGAAGGAAGGCTCGAGGGTGTAGGATCGAGGCGAGGGTGATCGAAGACTGACGATGGAGGGTCGAGGGGGAAGGCCAAGGATGGGATCGGAGGGTTTGAGGAGGAGGAGGAGGAGGAGGAGGAGGAGGAGGAGGGAGGAGGAGGAGGAGGAGGAGGAGGAGGAGGAGGAGAGGGGGGAGAGGAGGAGGAGGAGGACGGAGGAGAGGAGGAGGCGGGAGGGAGGAGGAGGAGGAGGAGGAGGAGGAGGATGAGGAAGGAGGAGAGGCCTAGGAGGAGGAGAGGAGGAGGAGGCGAGGAGGAGGAGCTAGGAGGAGGAGGCTAGGAGGAGGAGGATAGGAGGAGGAGGAGGAGGAGGAGGAGGAGGAGGAGGAGGAGGAGGAGGAGGAGGAGGAGGGAGCAGGGGAGAGGGAGAGAGGGGAGAGGGGAGGAGGAGGAGGAGGAGGAGAGAGGAGCAGGAGGAGCAGGAGGAGGAGTTGGAGGGGGGAGGATTGGGTGGAGTGCAGTCCCGGGGTCGTCCGGGGGCCGACGCCGCAGCTCCAGGAGAGCGACCCAGAGGCCCCACCCCAGGCGCTGGCGCCCCCCAGGCGCTGGCGCCCCCCAGAAGTGTCAGGGGCAACGTTAGGGGGGGGCTGAGGAATATTCAAAAATAGTCAAACATAGTCTGAGGACGATGTTTAGAATCGTTGTTGGCCATTTTGGGGTATGTTCTGACTATTTGTTGTTTCTCCAGACTCCCCCTGTAGGAGAACCGGTCCGACTTGAGGGCCAGGCTCAGGGGGGATGCGGTTTTCGGAGGCTTTTGGAAGTTTTCGATTCTTTCGAACGTTCTCGATACACGGGGTGGTTTCCATCAGGCGGAGAGCCGAGTTGTGGCCCGAAAGCCAGGGGGGCACTCTTAACGGGGGGACGCTCGGAGGTGATCGCATCGACCCCGAGTCCGCCACTCGTCGTCGATAGGGGCCGGCCCATCCAGAAACGATGCCCAGGCGAGTTGTCTTGATCAGGACATTGTATGAGCATGCGCTGCAACGAGTTTTGGATCCGCCTGATCAAACCCCAGGACGAGGACGAGGACGAGAACGAGGAGGAGGACGAGGAGGAGGACGAGGAGGAGGAGGACGAAGCGGAGGACGAAGAGTAGGACGAGGACAAGAAGGATAACGAGGAGGACGAGGAGGAGGAGAGAGCGAGGAAGAATAGGACCACGAGGAGAACGATGAGTTGGAAGAGGATCTGGCTGCCGTCTTGAGGTCCTCTGCAGGTCCTCAGAGGGTCCTCTCGGGGCTGTCTCGCGGCCGTCGTGGGGCCCTCTTGGCAGCCTCTTGGAACAATTTTGGAGGGTCCTGCAGTCCTCTTGGGGCTCTTTCTGGGTGTCTTGTGGCCCGTCTCTTGGGAGCCCTGGAGGCCTCTTGGGGCCATCTTGGAGGGCGTCGATCAAATGAAGGGGGTTCACCAATTCAGGTTCTCCCTGACGAGTCATCAAACTTGTCAATCGGGGCCTTGGGGCGGTCTTGGGGCCGTCTTGGGATCCTCTTAGGCGTCTCTTGGGTTATTGTAGGATGAACCCTCCTCGAAGGGAAACGGGGATTTGGATCACCACTGGTGGGATTGATGTTCCAGACCTCCAGGTCCGCGGGCCCCCCCCCCAGGTGGGATGGGTCCCGGGGCCTCGCGGCCACCCACGACGGGAAGGGGGTGGACGACGACCTCCCGCTCCCTGGAGCGCACAGCAACACCACAAGGGTTCCACAGCTGCACCACCCCCCCACACTTACAGGGGGGATCCATAGGGGGTGGGGGGGGGCGCGATCCCACGAGGTTGGGGGGGGGCGGGGGGGCGGTCGGTCTTGGATCATGTATGCATGTACGCAATACACGCCTCTTCATCCTCTCAACTGCTCCGAGGAGGATCTCCTCGTCGCATCCGTGGGGTCCACGGAGGCTCCCGCGTAGGCCTTTGGAGGCCCGAAGGGTCCCAGGCGCCGAATGCCTCCATCGTCGTGGTCGTTCTTGTCCTCGCCTCCGTCCTCGTCGTCATTCTCCTCCAGCTGCTTCGGAGTCGTCTTGCAGTGCCAGCTCCGCAACAGCTGGCAGGCAAGTCGCAGGCTCAAAGCCTCCAACGTGGAAGTCCGACCTCCGCTCGAAGGTGCCCTAGTCCCCTGATCCGTCTCGCCTGTTCCGAGCTGCTCCAGCGTGCTCTTGCTAAAACTCTAGGCCGACGGCGGCGGCGACGACGGCGCCGACGACGATGACGACGACGACGACGACAGCGGTGACGGCGGAGACGACGACGACGGCGATGACGCTGGCGGTGACGACAACAGCGACGACGACGACGGCGGTGATGACGACGGCCGTGGCGACGACGACGACGACGGCGGTGGCGGCGGTGACGACGGCGACGGCAGTGACGACGAGGTCGACAACGACGACGACAGCGGCCGTGACGACGACGACGGCGGTGACGACGACAAGGACGACGACGACGACGGGGGTGACGACGACGACGACGGCGGTGAAGACGACGGCTTCGACGACGACGACGGCGATGATGACGGCGCTGCGGGCCTCCGTCGAGTCACGGTCCAGCTTAATCTCCGCATGGATGATAAGAATCACGATGGGGAATAATCACGATGCAGCTGACGATGGTGGTGACGACGACGACGACGACGGTGGTGACGACGGTGGTGACGCCGACGACGACGAAGACGACGACGACGACGACGGCGCTGAGGATGACGACGGTGGCGACGACAACGGCGTCGACGACGGCGGTGACGACGACGACGACGAAGGCGACGGCGACGGTGAGGACGATGACGGCGGTGACTACGACGCCGACGACGACGACGCCGACGGCTGCGGTGACGACGACGGCGGTGACAACAACGACGACGACATTGACGACGACGGCGGCGGCGGCGGCACTGACGACGACGACGACGACGAGGACAACGAAGATGGCGGAGGCGGTGACGACGGCGGCTGCGTCGACGACGACGACGGTGGCGACGACGACGGTAGTGACGACGACGGCGGTGATGACGACGACGACGACGACGACGTCGGTGAAAACCCCGACGGTGGTCACGACGTCGACGGCGAAAACGGCGGCGGCGGCGGTAGCAACGACGGCGACGACGACGATGACGGTGGTGACGACGACGACGTCGACGACGACGACGGTAGCGACGTCGGTGGCGGTGATGACGACGAGGACGATCGCGGTGACGAATACGTCGACGACGACGGCGGTGATGACGACTGCGAAGGCGTTGATGACGGCGACGACGACGCCGACGACGACGGTGGTGACGACGGCGGTGATGATGACGACGACTGCGTCGGTGACGACGACGACAGTGGCGACGGCGGTAGCGACGTCGACGACGACAAAGGTGGCGGTGACGACGACGACGACGACGACGACGGCGGCGACGACGATGACTGCTGTGACGACAACCACGGTGGTGACGACGACTACGCCGACAACGACAACAGCAACGACGACGACGGCGGTGACGACGACAACAACGACGTCGCCGACGATGACGGCGATGAGGACGACGACGGCGGTGTCGTCGACGACGACGTCGACGACGACGGCGGTGACGGCGGCGGCGACGACGACGACGACTGACGACGACGACGGCGACGGCGGTGACGGCGACGACGGCGGTGACACAGACCACGACGACGTCGACGACAACGACGATGGCGGTGACGACGACGACGACGGCGGCGGTGAGGACGATGACGACGACGATGACGACAGCGGCGGCAGTGCCGATGCCTGCCGATGCCCACGTCGACGCTGACGGCCGACGCCGACGACGAAGACGACGACGACGACGACGTCGACCACGACGGCGCTGAGGATGATGACGGCGGCGACGACGATGGCGACGACGACGGCGGTGACGACGACGACGGTAACGACGACGACGACTTCGACGACTACGGCGGCGGCAGCGACGGCGGTGACGATGGCTACGGCGGTGAGGACGACGACAACGACGACGACAACGTTGATGGTGACGACGACGGCGACGACGACGTTGACGACGACGACGGCGGTGACGACGACGACGACGAGAGCTGTGACGACGACAACGACGACGACGACCACGACCACGACCACGACGACGATGACGCCGCTGTGACAGCGACGACGGCCGTGACGACGACCACGCCGGCAATAACATTGTCGACGACCACGCCGGCGGTGACGACGACAACGACGACATCGACGACGACGCCGACGTCGGTGAGGACCACGGTGGTGACGACGACGACGACGACGTCGAGGACGACGACGGTGACCGCGACGGTGACAACGACGACGGTAAAGACGACGATCACGACGACGGTGACGACGACGACGGTGACAACGACGACGTCGACGTCGACGTCGACGTCGACGACGACGGCGGCTGCGACGGCGGTGGCTGCGTCGACGACGGTGACGACGACGACGACAACTGCGGCGACGACGACGACGAAGACGTCTGCGGCGGCGACGACGGCGGCGACGACGACGACAACGGTGACGACGACGACGACTAGGACTACGACGACGGCGGCGGCGGTGGCGGCAGCAGCGGCGGCAACGACGATTGTGCCGGCGTCGGCAGCGACGTCGACGACGGCGTTAGCGGCGACGATGGCGGCGGTGAAAGCGGCGTCGGTGGGGCTCTCCGGGGCTTAGGTGCTGACCGCTCACTCGCCCAGCGCCCAGAACATCGCCAGCATCTACGGCAAGATTCTCGGCAGGCGGCGCGGGGGGGGGGCCTTTCCCGCAAAGAGATGACGGTCGAGACAGCGAGAGTCCATGCGATTGGAAGGCGCTGCTCCTGATCGTCGCCTCAGCAGGACGTGTCGACAGCCTATACGAGTTGGGCGCACCCAGAAAGCAGTGGGCTTCACCTCTCCGAGCTTTCCTAGACTCTAGGCTTGTCCAGGTCATTAAAAACCCACTGTATCACGCCGCCTGTCTCCGATCCCCCCAGCGCACAGTCAGCAGGACCACCCCTGGCGGGGAGGTCAACGATGCCTCAGGCCTTCCCGATTCGGGGCGCAGGCATTGGGGGTCGACGCCAGCGGGGGTCGGCCAATCCCTTCCGATTCCCTCTGGGCGGCCGACGTGGAACCGACCTTTCCGCATCTCTCCGCCCTACACCAGCCTTGGTTTGGGGGCCACCTCTTGGCTAGCCCGTGTTTCCGACGTGGCCTGTGGCTAGTCTGGGCAAACGCTAGGTGTTCAGACCTCTGCTGACGATTGCTGACGATCGAAGGCAGCTGGGAGCAAGGACTAGTTCCCTCTGGGGTCCGCTTCTGCGCAGCCTGAACCTTGCAATGGTGAGCAAGGGAAGGCTAACAATGGCAACTACTTCTGGGTTGCGAACAGCCACCCCACAGAGTGTTGCATTTCCGTTGACTAGCATTTGGGGGTGGAATCTGCCCAGAGACTTTTGCACATATTCCATATCATGGTTCCTCATCAGCATTAGCGTGATCACCATCACTATCATCAAAGGCCAGCCAGCAGCCACTAACCATCAATCATCATCATCATCATCACCACCACCACCACCACCACCATCATCATCATCATCATCATCATCATCATCATCATCATCATCATCATCATCATCATCATCATCATCCGAACTACATGTGCTCAGCAAGCTCCCTTGTCGTACAATGTCGAGTGTCTGTGCTGGAACCCTGGCGTAAGAGTATGATGTCTCTGCTGATGATCGTTGCGCTTCCCAGATGGAGTTGACCGAGTTATTGTGATATTTCGTATGTACTCTCTAGGGCCACTCGAGTGTCTCGCACGTTAATGTTTTTGTTGTCGTTTTCGTTCGCTGCAGCGCTTGTACTTTCTCGACTTGCGAGTGTACATCCTTTCTCCCTCCGTGCGCCGAGCCTTCCAAGAGTTCATTTTTATCCAGCTGCCTTTGGGAAGTCCCGCGACCGAGCCGGCGTGGAATTCTTATGGCGACTTTTCGATGGCGTCCCCAAGAGTCGGCGTTTTTGGTCATACCTCAATGCAGGGCGCTCATGTGTCGTTTGTTTGGTTTGTGTTTGTTCTCTCTCTCTCTCTCTCTTTCACCCACCTGGCTCTGGCGAAGCGGCGTCAGGCACTTGGAGGGCTTCGACGCCATGGTGCGCAAGTCCTCGGACACGATCGTGATGGCCACCGGCGACATCCTGACCGCCATCCAGAACAATCCCTGCTTCTTGCCCTCCGGGCAGAAGTCCCGCCCGGGGGGGGGGGGGTTCACGTACGGAGCGCTCGCGCGCGTCTGCGGGCCCAGTGCGCCAGCGCGGGCGCTCGCGCCCTGGCAGGCACGCGCCACGTGCACGCGCACCGTCGTGGGCTCTCGCGCTTGCGCGCGCGTCCCCCCGCCTTCGTTTCCCCGCCGCTCCCGCCCCCTGCTCCTCCGAGTGTTTCCCCTTCCTCCTCCTCCTCCTCCCCCTCCTCCCCCTCCTCCTCCTCCTCCTCCTCCTCCTCCTCCTCCTCCTCCTCCTTCTCCTCCTCCTCCTCCTCCTCCTCCTCCTCCTCCTCCTCCTCCTCCTCCCTCCTCCTCCTCCTCCTCCTCCTCCTCCCCCTCCCCCTCCTCCTCCTCCTCCTCCTCCTCCCCCTCCCTCCTCCATTTCCTCCGAGCGTTTTCCGTCCTGTTCCTGCCTCTGCTGCCGCTTTCCCAGGGTTCACTGGGTGGCCGTCGTGGTTCTCCTCCTCGAGAGCCCCGCTGTCTCGAGGGGGTGCCGCCGCCCTGCGCGCTCTCCTCCCCCCCCTCGTCGCAGCGCACGTGGTGAGCTGGGTCCTCGCTTTGAAGAGACAGCGCCCCGCGTCTCCTTCGTTCCCTCCCGCTGCCCTCCTCCCTTCTCAAGTCACTGCCTCTGCCCTCCGCATGCCCTCGTCGTCAGCAGCAGCAGCATCGCCACGACCCATCATCGTGATCATCCTCAGCATCGTCTTCACCATCGCCATCACCATCAGCGATTCTGGCACACGCCCCACACGGTTCCTGGCCCCAAAGGGAGCTCCACCAAAGGCCCCAGTGGCAGCGCCCGCATGGCGCCGCCGCGCCAATTCTGGCGCACCCCTTACACGTCTCCTGGTCCCAGCGCCCGCATGGCACCACCGCGCCCATGTCGGCACACGCCTCACACGTTTCGTCGCCCCACGGGAGCTCCACCGAAGTTCCCAGAGGCAGCGCCCGCATAGCGCCGCCGCACCTGTTTCGGCACACCCCTCACATTTTTCGCGGCCCCCTGGTTAGGGCGCTCCACCGAAGGCCCCAGTGGCAGCGCCCGCATGGTACCGCCGCATCAATTTCGGCACACGCCTCATATGTTCCCTGGCCCCACACGGAGCTCCACCGAAGGCCCCAGTGGCAGCGCTCGCATGGTACCTCCGCGCCAATAGTTATCGGCGCACGCCTCACACGTTGCCTGGCTCCACAGGGAGGTCAATAGAAGGCCCCAGTGGCAGCGCCCGCATTTCACCGTTGCGTCAACGTTTCGCAGCACCATAGGGTATTCCCATGGATTTCTTGAATCGGCTGTGGACCTCCCTGGCGGCGCCTCCTGCACCGCCCCTGTCGCGCTCCGCTTCCTAGGGACAGGGTCCATTCCAGCAGAAAGGAGGTGTGCATGTAGGAGGGGGGGGGATGTAGGAGGGAATGTAGAGAGGGGAGGGTGGGGAGGAGAGGGGTGAATGTAGAGCGAGGTGCCGGAGTCGGAGAGTGGGAGGAGGGTAATGGTAGAGAGAGGAAAGGTGGATGCAATGTATGAAGAGAGCATGAATGGAGGGATGGGGGGAGAGAGAAGAGACCGGGGGCAGGGTGAAGGAGCACGGGCGGAGGGAGACGAGACGATGTGAGTGGAGAACGAGGCGGAGGAGGGGGAGGAGTAGGCGGAGATGGAGGTACAGATGAGGAGGACGATTATGGTGATGCCGATGCTGTCGATGATGTCGATGATGATGATGATGATGATGATGATGATGATGATGATGCTGATGATGATGATGATGATGATGATGATGCTGATGCTGATGCTGATGCTGATGCTGATGCTGATGATGATGATGATGATGATGATGATGATGATGATGATGCTGATGCTGATGCTGATGCTGATGCTGCTGATGCTGATGCTGATGCTGATGCTGATGCTGATGCTGATGGTGATGGTGATGCTGATGCTGATGCTGATGCTGATGCTGATGATGATGCTGATGGTGATGGTGATGCTGATGGTGATGCTGATTCACATGATGATGTCGATGTTGATGATGAGGATGATGATGACGACCATGATGATGCTGATGGTGATGAGGACGAGGAGAAGTATGAGGAGGAGGAGGAGGGGGAATATGCGGATGATGGGGATGATGCTGCCGAAGAGGATGATACTGATGATCGTTGCTGATGATGCTCTTGGTCGTGACGATAATGTTAAGGTGATGATGATGATGATGATGTCTATGATGATGATGATGATGATGATGATGATGATGATGATGATGATGATGACGATGATGCTGATGATGCTGATGCTGATGATGATGATGATGATGATGGTGATGGTGATGGTGATGGTGATGGTGATGGTGTTGGTGGTGATGGTGATGGTGATGCTGATGGTGATGCTGATGATGCTGATGATGATGGTGATGATGGTGGTGATGCTCATGTTGATGATGCTGATGATTATGATGTTGATGATCATGATGATGCTGAGGATGATGATGCTGATGATGCCGCTGATGATGATGTTGATGATGAGAGGGGGAGGGGTAGGTTTAGGAGGAGAGGAGCAGGGGGAGGAGGAGGAGGAGGAAGAGGAGGAGGAGGAGGAGGAGGTGGAGGGGGACGAGGACGAGGAGGAGGGGGAGGGGGAGGGGAGGGGAAGGAGGAGTGGCAGGGATTTTGATAACGTCGTTGATGTTGATGATGATGATGATGATGATGATGTTGATGATCATGCTGATGATACTGATACTGGTGATGATGTTGATGATGGTGCTGCTGATGATGCTGCTGATGATGATGATGCAAGGAGGAGGAGGATGAGGAGGATGAGCAGGAGGAGGAGGAGGAGGAGGAGGAGGACGGGGACTGATCGAGGAGAAACGATGAGAAACGGAGGGGGGCTGACGCAGGCTCATGTTGTGGGCCTCGAGCCCAGGACGTCGGCCATCGTGTCGACAGATGTGTGTCGTTCAGCTGGGCCGTGCCTGAGCCCTCCCCGCCAAGTCCACGAAAGAAACTCCTTCTCCCCTTCCCTCCGCCCTCACCCTCCCCCTTCCCCTGCCCTCCCCCTCGCCCTCGACGCGCACCTCTTCGAACTGTCACTCCTCCCCTCTCCGTTTCCTCAGCCCCCCCCTTTCCTCCCCCTTCCTCCCCCCTCTCCGTGTCCTCAGCCTCCCCCCTTCCTCTCCGTGTCCTCAGCCTCCCCCTTTCCCTCCCCCCCGTTCTTCCCCCCCCTCCTCCGTCCTTCATTATACTCCCCCACTCCCTCATCACTTGTGATCCTCCTCTCTCCCTCCCTGCCCCTGCCCTCCTTCCTTCCCTCCCTCCCCAGCTCTCCGACGATTTTGTTGTTGTTTTTTTTCCACGGCGTCGACCCCTGGAGGCCCCGAACACTTCCCAGGGACTGTTTTTTCCTCCCGAGTCGTTCCTTGATGATCCCAAGCCTGGCGAGGGCTCTCAGAGGCCAGAGCTAACCCAAAGCACACATTGTCTCAACGCTTTCGCGACGCGAGCAGGTGTGGGTCCCCCGAATCTCTCCCCCCAAATCCCCCCCCCTTTCCTAAATCTCTCCCCCCAGTCTCTCCCCCCAATCTCTCCCCTTGCCTCTCCAGCGTTCGCCCTCCTCCTCCCCCCAATCTCTCCCCTCCGGCACGGGCGGAGGTTCCATTACCAGTTCAACCTCAAGGACATCTCGAACATCTTCCAGGGCCTGCTCCACACCGAGAGCGCGATGTTCAAGAAGGCAGGGCCGCCGCACCGATAGTGGTCGGGCGGGCCTTCGCCGGGCTGCACATTCGTCCTCTTGCTCCAACTCGGCCTCTTGCTTCCTCCTCCCTGTCGCATACCTGCCCTCCTACTACCTCTGCAATTCCCTTCCCCGCCCCCCGCTCATATACCTCCTCTCAGAGTTGCCCCCGCCCTCCTTGGTTCTCCGTGTCACCCCATCCTGGGACGGGAGGGGGGAGATGCGGACGAGCAGAGGATCAAGGGGAGTGGAAGGATGAGAGCGAGGATGCGGAGGAGACCACCAGCCGACCGACGAGTGCAGCTGCGGGTGAGGGCAAAAACCTTGTGGCGGTACCACTCGGGCAGTTATGTTGGGCGACGTCGGAACGGGGCGTGCAGACGCGAAGCTCTGTAGTTGAAGAGATGCAGACGGCAGACAGAGCCGGCAACCGTGCCAGGGCCCGGCGGTCGTGGGGGTGCTCACCCGAGCGAAGCCGGAGCGATGACTGGCGCTCCTCGGGGCAGAGAGGCAGGGGTGCAGGGAGGGAGCGGAGCGGGGTGGTGGGCTCTCAAACGTTTCACCCTCTGTGGTCTCGCACCCCGGGCGACCGCGGCTCTTGGCAGAGCGCGGAGTCCCCGCGACGCGCGCCGGTTGCCCCGCAGGGGTCCAGGCGACGCGCGCGGGTCGCCCGCTGCGACCCAACAGTTTCGATCCTCCATTCTTCGAGCAGTGGCGAAACGTCCTGGCTTGCGTATCGGCCCACCAAAGAAGTTTTTAAGAGCCTCTAGTGGTCTGCACGAAGTGTTCCGGGAACCTTTCTCGCTGAGACTGGCTTGTTTTGACGCATCGGGCTTATGCTCCAAGAACATGCCGTGGTCGGCCCATAGGCCATAGGAATGCCAGGACGGCGGGTCGCTGCTCCAATTCTCGAGCCCCGAAAGATCGGCTGCGAGGGTGATGGCGGCGGCGGCGGCGGCCACGCCGCCTGCCGGCGACGGGGATGACGCGCGGCGGCGGCGGCGACTGCGCGCGCCCTGGCCGCGGCAGGGCCTGCAGGACTTCCTCCGCGCGTGGGCCCACGAGGCGCAGCGGGTGTTCTGCGACCGTCTGGTGTCGCCGGAGGACCGGGCGGAAATGCAGATCATCATGGAGAAGGCTCCCCCCTCTCGGCGTCGGTCGCGTCGGTTCTCGGAGGCTTTCGGGCGTGTTTCGTCGACTGGGATGTGTTTTCTCTTGCCTCGGGGTGCTCTCCAGCAGCTGCGCCTCGTCGAGAGCGTTTGTCGGGTTGCAAGGCTCGCCCCCAACGACCCGAAGACAAGAGATGCAGACCATCAGGGGGCGGACAAAAACGCACGTTCTAGCTTGTGCGCTGCGCGCGAACTTTCACAGTGCCAGGCTGGCCTCGCGGACACAGGGGAACCGTATTCGTGCACGAGGCTGGGCGCGCACCTCTGGTGGGTGAAGGCCGCCCCCCCGACTGCACCCGGGGGCAAATCGACAGGGGGGGGCCTGGCCCGAGCCCCTTCCCTCTGGTCCCTTCCCCGCCAGGGGGGGGGGGGGGGGGCGCCCCGGCTCCCAAGCGGCCCCCGAGAGCCTCCCAAGAGGCTCCAAAACTGCCCCCGAGAGCGCTCGTCGTCGTCGTCGTCGTCGTCGTCGTCGTCGTCGTCGTCGTCGTCGTCGTCGTCGTCGTCGTCGTCGTCGTCGTCTTCCCCGTCGTCGTCGTCGTCGTCGTCGTCGTCGTCTTCCCCGTCGTCGTCGTCGTCGCCATTCGGGGTCGGCGGCGCTGGCCGCAAGGCCTTCGCACTCGGCAGGGGAGGGGCCCGGCCCAGGGAGGGGGGAGAACGCGTCCTCCTCCTCCTCCTCCTGCTCCTCCTCCTCCTCCTGTTCATCCTGCTCCTCCTCCTCCTCCTCCTCCTCCTCCTCCTCCTCCTCCTCTTTCTCTTCCTCTTCCTCCTCCTCCTCCTCCTCCTCCTGCAGCGGAAGCAGCATCTCGAGCAGGAGGAGAAGGAGGCGGAGGAGGAGGTGGAGGCGGAGGAGGAGGTGGAGAGGGGAAAGGAGGAGGAGGAGGAGGAGGAGGAGGAGGAGGAGGAGGAGGAGGGGAACGAACAATGGCGTAAACATAAAAACTCGAAGGTCCGCGCAAACTTCTCGGATCCGCGCTGGACCCCCCTGGCGTCGCCTCCAGCTTCGCGCCTGGCGCGCTCCGCGCGCCAGGGAGGGGGGGTCCAGCGCGGATCCGAGAAATCCGGTCGAGCCTCGGAAGTTTTGTGTTTATGCCACTTCTCGTTCCCCTAATGAGGAGGAGAAGGCCTTCTCAGAAGGCGGCGGGACCTCTCAGAAGCCCTCGCGCCTTCCGAGAAGTTGTTGTTTGCGCCTTCGGGGAAGGCTTGGGACACTTCTCAGAAGGCCCTGGGACTTCCGAGCCTTCTGAGAAGGCCCGTCCCTTCTCACTTCCCCCCGGGCGCGCCGCCTATTCAGGATCGATGGCCTGTGGCCGCTCTGCTGGCGATGTCCAGCCGAGTCTGGGCCCACGTTTCCCCTCCTGCGCCGATCCCGCCCCCGTCGTCCCCTCTCACGGCTGCCTCGTCCTCCGTCCTCGCCGCCACCCCCCCCGGGGCGTGGCGCAGGTCGCCTCGAAGCACTTCCTGGGGGCCGTGCAGACGAAGGACGAGCGCCCCCCTCCGGGAGGAGGAACCAGGATCAGGCGAGGACGCCTTTGCCACCCTTCCCTCGTCGCCACGGCCGGCTGCGCCTCGAAGTGCTGGTCAGGGCGCGCCCCAGGAAGAGGCAGTGGAGGGTAGCGGTATCGGTAGTCTCGTTCTCCTCCAGTCTTTTTTTGTTTTTGTTTTTGTGGACCATTGTTGTCTAGACTGTGAGGCGGCCAGTGAGCAGGAACATCGCGTTTGGGCCGAAAAAGGGCTAGCCCAAGATGCGCAGCAGGAAGGCGATCCCGGCAGGAACATGAATCAAGTGGTACTCCATGGACCCCGAGTCGCACGTCAGTTCATTGGTCGAAGACGACTTCAAGTACAGCTATCGGGGCCTCAAGAGGATTGCTGAGCTCTGTGGGTTGTCGGCGGCATCGGCCTCTTAGCGAGTGATGATGTGGGCCCTACGATCGCGTTCAGCACGTGCCGCCATCTCGAACTTATCTACGGTCTCACTGTGCGAGGGCTTTTCCCCGTCAGCTCTAGAGCATCCGCATAAGGAGCCACAGCTGTTTCAATTGCTGCAAGATGCTCTGTAGGCGGTGCCGCACTGAATGAAGTAGACCCGAAGTGGTTTTCGCGCTGCTGATCACGACGGCCCTTCTTGTTCTCCTTCGACGGCGATTATTTTTACCTTGGTCACGTTCATTCGACCGCTTGAGAGGCGAGAGACGATACCTTCCATGGGCCCCCGATGTGGAACCTGTTGCACTCCTTCGGGCCGTCCCAGATGCGAACGGTCACGCCCACCGAGCCCCCTCCCACGTATTGCTGCACCTCCCCGTCCTCCACGGAGCCCGCCGACACTGCGGTCGCGGCGGCGACGGTGTCGTAGGAGCCATTGTCGTTGGCGTGCGAGACCGTGAGCACTTCGGCGGCGCCTCGGGTGGCTTCAGGATCTTCTTGCCGAGCGACGTGATCATCGGAATCTGATTTGGCCCTGCGGGGAAAACTAGCGAGTCCTGTTGCGATTTCATCATCGGCTTAGTCGTTGTCTTCACGGGCGTGCTGACGCTCATCTTCTTTTCCCGCGAGGCGTGCGGAACGAAATGCTTCCGCTTGCGATTGTCACGCAGATAGCGCGGCGGTAAGACCTGGTTGCAGTCGATCGGCCGCAGGTGTTCGTCCCGCTTGAGCCGCGGGGACGGCGGTGACGTCGGGAGCCCAGGGGCTGCTGCTGACGACGTGCACGCTCCCGAGGCCACCGGGCCCCCGAAGGGGGAAGCGGACTCCTCCACGGCCCCCAGAGGCTTGGTCCCTTCCTTCCTCCGCTGGCCCAGCGAACGGCGCTCGCGTCTCCGTCAACGCCAGCTCGTGCGAGGCCAACCGAGGAGGGCAGCCACCCTGCCAGTCCATGGGCGCCGAGGTAGTTCCAGCAGACTTCGACACGGATGGGCAACACCCGCGCGTCGTTGCCCGCTGGGATGTGAGAACCACTCGCGGGGATGTGAGAGCCACTCGCGCAGGGCTTGCCCGTCAGCGTCTTCAGGGTGAAGATTCTACCACGCCCACTCTTGAAGTCTGGTCAGATGCCAGCCCCCCGCTCACATGAGTGGCACAGTTTTTGGCCCACGGCGCGGGATGGGTGGAGGATCGGACGCCCCAAACGGGCCTCCAGGATGCCAACACGGGGCGGTGACTGACCGTGCGGTGCGGTCCTTCGGGGTCCCGATGTCACCGCACGGTCTGTCACCGCACCGCTTTGGGACCCTTAGGGGGAGGCGGCACTTGATCAGTTCTCGCAGTAGTGGTAAGGACGCCGAGAGTGCGCGACATGTTTGTTCCAAGTATCGCAGCGCCCATCCTTTTTAACCCCTCCTCCTCCTGGCCCCTCTTTTTTGTTGAGTGCCTCGCTGCGGCTTTCGTGCCTCGGTGGGGTCGACAAGGCGTAGGATGAAGAGGAGGAGGAGGCGGAGGAGGAGGAGGAGGAGGAGGAGGAGGAGGAGGACGAGGAGGGCGGGCCTGACACCTTCGCGTTGAGAAGAGAGTTGCGGCTAAGGCTTTGGCCCCCGGGGCCCCTCCTTGGAGCCCAGGGCCGCCATGGCGCGACTCGGGCAGCCTGGTCGCATTGCAGGTGACCAGACCATCTGGGGAGCCACGCTGTGAGGAAGTGGCGACGTCGAACGTCTGCGGGTGGCATCGCTCGGACGTGTGCATTTTTTCGCGGCGAGAACCATCGAGGACCATCGGCGAAACCGACAAATGCACTGGAAATTGAGGTCCGAGCGACGGCAAGTGGGGGTGGAGATTGGGTTCGCAGGAGCCACGAGGGGAGCGGCGTGCGGGTTCGGGGGGCAGCCGGTGCGGAGGTGGCCCCGACCGCGCTCGAGACGACGACGACGACGACGACGACGACGACGACGACGACGACGACGACGACGACGACGACGACGACGACGACGACGACGACGACGACGACGGCGACGGCGACGGCGACGGCGACGGCGACGGCGACGGCGACGGCGACGGCGACGGCGACGGCGACGGCGACGGCGGGGGCGGCGACGACGACGACGACGACGACATGGGAGGAGAACATGGCGGAGGAGGGTAGATGGAGGGACGGAGGGACGGAGGGCAATCGGAGTCTCTCTGTCACCCTCTTGGGTCTCCTGGGTGGGGGTGTCCGCGTCGCCACGGCTGTGCCCGCCTCGAGATCCCGGCTCGAACGCGCCCCAGGAGAGAGTCCAGGGTATGCGCAGAGGAGGGAGCGAAGACGCGCAGCTCCGGCAGCGGGGCTGATGAGGCAGGGGCTCCGATGGCGTCGTTCCCCACGCAGAGCTTGCCCCTAATTCGGGGCCCTTGGCTCCTCGGTGATTGGAGTTGCGGTCCCGACCTCGGCTCGCCCGGTGGCCGCCCTCGGGCGCCTCTTGCGCTTGCCCCGCTTGTTCGGCCACGGGCGTGGCCCCGCACCGCTCGCACCACGCCGCTGGTCACCGCCCACCAAACCACCCCAACCCAACCCGAAGGCATCAATTTGCCCCCCATTTCCAGTGGGGGGGGGTCGGGGAACGTTGAACAAAAACACATGGAACCCGTACCCCCCCCAACTTAAAATTCGGGTCAAATTCGGGTCTTCGGGTTGGGTTGGGGTGGTCTGGTAGGTAGTCAGTTGAGGGCGCCGCCTCGGTTCCACCGCGCAGTGTGCACCGCTTCTGTTGCGCCGCCATGGCTTCGATCCAAGAGCTTGCACGTCTGGAGTGCTCGAGCTCGGTGTTCGGGGTCCATGCGGGCCAACGCTTGTTTGTTGCTGGTCCTCTTGGGTGGGAGAGGTTTTGCACGGTGTCGCTTGGTTCCTCTCCCCTCTCTCTCTGTACATACCTGTGCAGGCAGATATGTCCAGGGTAATGACTATGATCAGAGTGAGGGGGCCGAACGGTCTTACACGGCCCCCCCGTGCGTGGCTGAAGTGGGTTCCCGCAGTGCAGGTTATTGGTGTTTTCGTTCTGTGTTGTTGTCGTCGTCCCACCCCGCGACCCACCCGCGACCCAACCGCGACCCACCCGCGACCCACCTGCGACCCACCCCGCGACCCACCCCCGCGACCCACCCTGCGGCGCACCCTGCGACCTACCCCGCGACCCACCCCGGGACCAACCCGCGACCCACCCCGCGACCCCGCGATCCGCCCGCGAATCACCCCGCGCTGGCCCCCTCACTCTTACCCGCAATTGCGGGGTGCTACTTATCCTCTTTTTTTGTTTCTCTCTCTCTCTCTCTTTTTGTTGGTTTCTCTCTCTATATCCCTTTCCCCCCTCCTCACACGCTTTCAACGTTTGTAGTTGAGAGTTTCGCCGTATTGAATTGTGTCAGTCTCCTTGTTTCCGCTCCTCTCTGGGCAGTGGCGCGCCCCACGTGCTCACCTTCATTTGCTGCATTATCTTCTGTCATCCTCCTTCTCCTCCGCCTAGCTTCCTCTTCTCTACTATCCGCCCTCTCTTCATCATCCTTCCTCTTTCCTTGTCCTCTTGCCCCCCCCCTCGGCATCCACATCACACCCGCCTCAGTCCTCCTTCCTCGTCGTGGTGTCTCCTCGCCATTCTGCCTGCTCTCCTGCTCCATAGTTCCACTCGTGCTTGGTGAAGACGCCGTGATTGGGTCACGACATTCATTGTCAGGGTCCTGCTTCCCCTGCTGAGTGGTGGCATGGGTAGGCGACTGTGTGGAGTCACCTCTCATGTGTGTCTCGCCTGCTGTTAAATGCCGCAGACTGTGTATTGCCACATTGGGCTGAAGCTCGAGGCCTTGCTGCCTGTGCCTGGCCACAGGCGGTGCGCAAGAGCGCCTGCAGTGTACAGCAGCCTACGGGCTGAGGGCACGGCGTGAGCATGCTCCTTTGTCTCCTCGTCCTCCTCCCCTCTCTCCTCATCCTTCTCCTCCTCCTCTTTCCCCTCCTCCGCCGCCTCCTCCTCCCCCTCGTCCTCCTCCTCCTCATTCTCCTCCTCCCCCTCCTCCTCCCTCTCCTCCTCCTCCTCCTCCTCCTTCTCCTCCTCCTCCTCCTCCTCGTCCTCCTCTTTTCCTCCTCCTCCTCCTCCTCCTCCTCCTCCTCCTTCTCCTCACCCTCCTCCTCCTCCTTCTCCTCCTCCCCCTCCTCCTCCTCTCCTTCTCCTCTCTCCTCCCCTCCTCCTCTTCCTCCTCCTCCTCCTCCTCCTCCTCCTCCTCCTCCTCCTCCTCCTCCTCCTCCCCTCCACGCCCTCCTTTTTCCTCCATGCGGCCCCCTCCCGCTCTCCCCTTCCCCGGCCGGCCGAGGAGGTGCCCTTGCCCCTTTCGTCCGCCTCGCTCTTGCCCCCTTGCTTCTCCGCGCTCCCCGGCCGCGCCCTCGCACGTCCAGAGGGCGCGCTTCCTCCCTCCCGCCGCCGCGCTGCCACATCCTCCACGCTGCAGACCATGCCCACGGCGGGCCTGCGCCGTGTCGACGCGGCGGTGTCCCCGCTGCGGCTCATTCTGTGGTTGAGAGCGCCGCCAGCGGCCGAAGCCTCGCGATCGTGCGCGACCAGGGAGCCGTAACCCTCCAAGGCTGAGCGATCCACCCTGGGCATCTCAGACGGGGTCCGAGGAGATGTGGTTGGAGGATCGAACCGCATCGCCGCTGCATCGGCGATTCGGTTCGATGCGGAGCCCGTTTTCTCAACGCCGACGTCGCCGATGTATCGGCGATGCGGCGCGATTCTCTGATCCCAGTTTTCTCGGACCTTATTTAGGAGGTTCTTAGTCTCGCGATCCTGCGCGACCAGGTAGCCATGATCGCTCAATGATGGGCGATCTATGCGGTTCGGGGCCAGGGACGTGACCATGGTTCGATGTGTTATGCAACCGCCACCCCACACAGTGTGGTGGAAGTCCTTCGGGTTAGGTTCACGAGCGCGAGATTTGTACGCTATGTTTCGGACGAAGGCCTTCACGCCTTGCTATGTTGTATACAAATGCGCTGCCGCGCGATTCTGCCACCGCGCTCGGACGGGGGGGGGTGGGGGGAGGTGGAATGAGCACTGGGTAGCACTAATGGTTGAAATTGGGCGCATGCTCTGCCTGGAACGCAGGGACTTGGTCGCAAACATGAGCGCATCTTGGGCTCGATCCGTCGGGGGGGCCATACTTATTGCTTCGCAAGGAGCGAAAGGGCCCGACACGCACCTGCCGCTGCTGGTACATCTCATATGTGTGTGCGCGGCGGCCAGCGGTGTGAGAAAGCAGCGCCGACGTCGTCATGACATGAACCTGCGCCCTCTAGGAGCTGTTCGAGCAGCCCCTCGTCATGACGTCCTTCGAGTCCGACGCCAAGGGCCTCGGCAAGCGCTACCTCCTGGCATCGCCGGGGGGGGGATCGATGCTCGAAGGAGGAGGTTCGAGGCAAGATTACCAACTTGTCGGGGGGGTCTTCTTGGGCCACCACGAGGGTGCGAAGTTAGTCGCGCTATGCGATCTGGCCGATA